GCTACAATTAAGATTGGTAAATTTTGACTTGTCAACAACATTGGATGCGTAATAACGGCGTAGCTATGATTCTCCTTGTGATACAAAGTTTTTTAATTTTCTTTCGAACCAGATGAAAACAATGTGATTCCCTTAGATGTGCCGAATTCGTCTTGAAATCCTCTACCAGACAGGCGTAAAAAATTATATGTTCAGTTGCAAAAAATTCAAGGTAACCTTGAGAAAACATTAAAAAACAGAGTTGACCAGTAATTTTTCCCTATCACGTTAAAGCTCTGTTGAAACCATGCAAAAGCTGATAAAAACATTTTCAATCGAACTGCTAATAACAAAGTAATCTCTACTGATCACGATTCGTGATTCACCCTGCATATAACCGTGGAGACAGAGGCCATTGTGTAGGGCCTCAAAAAACAACTCGTCCGGCCTGGGCGATGGGGTGCCCCTGTCACCACCCACGCCGCCCTCACCCCTCTCCGGAGCCGATCGTGGTGCCATTTCTTCTGTGTATTAAAAATGTGGTAATGTCTTAAATAAAAAATTTTAAATAAATGTATGGTCTTAAAATTATAACACTTACCGTTCCAGTAGCAGGACCAGTCGGTGTTATGCAGTTAGCTGCGGTGCTGCTGCTGTTGGCTGGTATCTAGATATAAGGGTGACCGGTAAGAGATATATAATACACAATAAAATCAAATTAAAACGCGTACTAGGTTAAAGCCGTTATTAAACCTACCACTTTCTTTTATTTTAAAAAACTTCACTAACCCCCCTGCCACTAATACTTCTTCTTCTCGTTCTTTTTGTTAATCCTGTCTATATTCGTTATTCGTTTAGAGCGTCACAGTACTGACAAGATGCTGCGAGTATGGTTCACGGGTCACCATCTTTTTCCCTATCATGACCATAAACTTTTGCATAGTTGCAAAAGAGGTACACACAGTAGGAGTTTACGCAGGCCGGGATTTCATAGGGCTGGTCAAGACAGTGGTACCCCCGCGCCAGCCGTATTTGCGCATCGTTCGCTAGATTGAGCAAAAGAGGGGTACCATCATTCCAGCAGCAGCTACGTTGTATGTGGAGGGTTCATCTCGAGCAAAATATTAGGGGTTGGATATCAACCCATCAATAGTTAAAAGTATCGGAAAATAAACGGTAATGCATACGATACCTCTATATTATAAGCTATTTCTTATAAAAAAACAACTGTGTTCTACTTTACCATGCTACCGCCCTTAGGGTATTTAAAAAGTTACCGACCAGGGGTCACTGCATTATTACCGACCGTGATAAACCCTTGGGGACATGCAGCAACGCTGCAGGGTTTCGGGCCTTAGGACAGCATGGTGGGGAGCCACAACAGGGGAGGGGGGGCGGGAGGACCATCTGAGGCGACGTTTGAAGTCCGGACACATTGACGAGGGGGTGACGCCATAGTGCAGTGCGGGAAACCGGTGCGCGGTGCACTCTATGACTCATAGGGGCAGTGGTGGGGGTTTGTTGTGACGGCCAAGAGTGGTATGTATCTACTTCCGAAGATACGTACTCAACATGAAATTGTCATTTCCAGATTCTCGGAATTACCAGATTGGTTTGTGAAATCATACTATAAATAATCGGAAGAGTTAATATTGTTGTGCTCATCTGTCCAATTCAGAAATACTTTGGTACCGTTCGTCAAGCTGCAGGTTGCAACGACCACCCTTCCAGTCACACATTCCTTCAAATTTACAAAATCCTGTCGACGTACAGCGTTGCCTAAAGCCGCCAAAAACCGGAAATTGCTCCATTTCTGAAGACAAGCCCCATCAACCCCTCGTAACACTTACCTAACTAAAAACAATTTATAAAAATCTGGGAGTCTAATTTAATGAGATCAATTAAGGAGACGCTTGCAGCAGCTACACGGCACGATAATTGGGATTTAGAGGATGTAATTGAACATGATTATAGTAAACCCGAAATAATAAATTGCGTGTTGTATTACGTTACTACTCGATTGGTGAGCCGAATCTTGAACACCGTCAAATGCATCAAATGTAAACATTCTCTATTAAGTGTTGATAATAGAGCTAACCTTCCCGAATCAGACCTCACAGATTCTCTGGCGCGCGGTCCATTGATTCACCCGAACACGCATTTCTATCGATTCGTACTGTATCTACAAAAACATTTTGCGATTCATTGTAATTCTGGACAAGTTTTCAAGTCTATTCTGGAAGACGTGTACACATATGAACGGCTTTCCTTTCCATGTCCTCTTCACGCTGGCGAGATGCTTTATCGCGTAATGCAATATTACGTGTCTATGCGTATGCAGCAGTACTGCTCGCGTATTAACGCAGAGCAAGAAAAACAGAGTCAGCTCAAAAAAAAATATCGAAATTTTGTACCACGTGACTGATCTACTGTATTAACCCTTAGCTGGATCCTTTGTCTGTGATAACATAGCTGACGAGGGGGTCATTGAAGACCCCAAAGAAAATTTAGTTATAAAATCAACTGTTTTTAATATTTTGGCTTGAAATTTTTTTTGGTTATATCTTAATACATATTTTTTAAGATAAAACCTTCTGTAGATCGAGTTTTTTTTAAAGATTTAAAAAATCCTTTAAAGTTTTAAAGATCCTGAATGTACGAGAATCGCGATTGAAAAATAGCTGGGTCAAATTGACCCCATGGATCCAGCCAAGGGTTAATGTATCTCACACTGTGATACTGTTCATATACAAACTAATGTAAATATTTCGTAATATGAAGGCCTTTGCATTTACATTATTCCCCACGATTCCTCACAATTTCAATAAAAGTAACTCACTCACATCAGCCGCAGCTGATGATAGCCGCGCGCAAGACTACAAGCGCCGCGCGGCGGATGGCAACGCTAAGAGCGCCATATCTCAGATTCTCTGCTAGGGACCTAAATAGTGCTCTCTGCGTTGCACGCACAGGCCAAGGTACGTGGCAGGCGCCGCCCATTCTCCTCTCTGAACTCACCGCACTGCGTCCACAAGCTGGACACCATTAATGACGCTGAGTGTATATATGCATCCATAGCGGACATTCCTGATTATACCACTTTTCCTAGAGAACCCCACTAAGCTCCTCACTCATCTTCGAAGACATCATCCTTAGCCAATCCTGACCCAGTAAATCCATCACCCCCATGCAAAGCATCCCACCGAAATTTCAAACACCAATAACTCAACTTCCTTAACCACACTTACTCTTTTACTAAACATTTCCCTTAGATAAACCAATAATAATAATCTTCAATCCTACCCTAAAAATCCACCCACGCTAACTAACGTCCGCCAAAACCGCCAAGATTCATTCTCATTCTTCGTCGATCCGCCAATCAAGCTAGTTGTTTAATTTCTCTTCATTTGTCAGTCAACTAGAGTAGTTGCTTAGTTCTTGGTTTGCTTGGATTTATAATAGTGTTCACTTTATTTATCTAAATTCGCTTTCACATTTTTCTATTTTAAAACCAATCTCTCTTTTCCTACCATCGCCATCATCCTTATCATCGATATCACGGCTACTAAATCCGGTGAAGGAACATCTCAATCTTACAAAATCTCAAGTGGTGTTAAAGTCTCCCCCGTCCTCAAGTATTTATTTGGTGACGGTATTCATTTGTTTCAGTAAATATAGAATCAACTTCACCTGATATCCAATCTTATTCATTCTTCCCGCGGTAATTAAAGACTTACCCCGATCCCAAGTAAAGTGCACAAGCATTAACTCAAAATAGGACAACTTAGTAGTATGTTACGGTTCAGTAAAGACACTAGGTTAATTGGCCTTCATTCTAGTTCGGACGTAACAGTTCTGTATTTTATTTTGGAAATTTCGTGTGTGTTCCTTATAGTTATTTTTACGTGAATTTCCCGAGTTGCACTTAGCTTCAATTCTTCTGTGTTTCCCGATTCACGACCCACCGAAGAGTTTGCCTGGGTGTTTTTCCTGAGAGAGCTCAAAGTATAATTTCGATCACACCTAGCACTAACTTCATACGTGGAATGGGGCGTAATTATCTGTCAACGCGGTTTTAATCAAAATCGACATTACAAGCTATACAAATATATCACAACATTGCATTATTACGTCAGACTCGCTCGCTCGCCGACGATATTTGTGTAACTACCATAAAAATTAGTAGTAATATAGACACATCTGTCATTGTATTTATTTAGGGACTCTCTTTATTTTTCGGAAATATCATTAAAAAATATTTTTTTATTAATAAATCTTTATTTTTTAGAACTAACATCACAATAGTTAGAGTTGGCCCATATAGGACTGTGGTGCTTTCTAAAAACTTTAAACATACCTATTTTTTGAGAAACTAAACACAATTTATAAAAAAAGTTTTCCTCGCTTTTGACGTCACACATTGTACATGGCTTTATGATAAAACTGTTACTCGCCAAGTATGAGAATATTTTAATACTTCATTACAAGAAAATATGGAAAATAATATAATAAATATTTTATAATACTTGTATAATAACGTATTACTGGCAAAGGAAATCCACTTTATTTGCGTTTTTCTTACAAATTGGAATACACATTACTTTGATCCAAATACTTGTTCAATGTATCCTTTTAATGTGCTTAGTTGACGCATTGTCTCAGGGTCAAGAGCCGGTATATTTGAAAGATGTAATTTATTCTTCGGTACAAAAGACATAACTCTTCCATCTTCTAACGGCACGGTGATGGTTGCAGTTTCGTCTTGTACAACGGATGAGACCAACAGTGGACTTCCTTGTATACTAAGAGCCATTTCCCCTTTTCGCGGTCTTCGTAGTATATTCATCGGAGAATTTGGGTTTACTTTGGGTTTTATGACATTGGGCATCTTCGCTTTAAATGAAGTAGACCTTTGAGATACCCCTACTGATCTGACGTTTTTTGTAGCCAGCAATTGTAAATCATTAAATTTAGATTCTCTAGTTTGTGATTTACTACGTGTCCTTTTAGCTGCTCCAGTGCTGTAAATAAAAAAAAACATGAATATTTTAGATATGTTACTAAAGGGATGCAATGGATCAATGAATAACAATAGCAATTTAATATAATATTTTCAACTGAATTATGCGTTGTGACGTATTTTCTTCACACGACACCGATAATGCGAATCCGAAAGCTAACCTACGTCATCTTCCTACGTCCGCCCTTCATTCATGCATCCGCATGTCAGGCAGGCGTGAGAAATCCTTTTTTTACCGGGAACTAATTATGTCTTTTTTATATATAATTTAACCAGCTAATGCCGATCTATGACTATCACCTCAAACTCACTAATCACAAATCGATTTTAGTTTCATTTCAATCGGACTATTTTTGACATTTCTAGAGGCCATATTGGATCTGCCACTTTGAATTTGATAATTTTTACATGAAATATAAATTAGCGACATAAAAAAACCCCTGAGAAACTAAGTCTGATGGGAGTCGCAATACTTGAGATCGATTTTTATCGATTTGTTTTATGATGACGTATACATATATGCATCAAACCTGGTGGTAATCACTCGGATTTTTGCGCATATATACGTTAGACACTGTTAAAGAGTTGAAAACTTGCAATAAAACATTCACTTATGGTTCAGGCAAAAAAAGTAGAAATAATTTTAAAAAGGCGCACCGAGATCTTTCGCTCTGAATTGTCCATAGAACGGCAGTGCGCACTGAGTTCGTGATAAGGTATGAAAATATATTAATTTCTTTGTCTTTGGCCTGATGAAGCCTAATTCTATTAGATATACAGGTTGTTCAGGACACTATTAGTTTTTAAATAGCCGCAGGTCACAGTTGCCCAATCAGAGCGAGGCGTCAACAGCAACGTAGGCATCTCCGAACGCTGAGTTTTCTTCTCTAGCTTTTGTTTTTCGGTAGCTATAGGCAGACTGAAGCCAGGCGGAGCTATACCTATTAGATGTCACGCGCTGAGAACAGTCACGCACTAACTGACAACTGCAATATCCTATGATAATATAGGAAATAGTAAGATCTGTCGCAGTAGGTAAATTCGAAATCTGTCACCTACAAGTATTATGTAACTTGGTGTGGACAACAAAAGCGTACTGGAAAAATTCTGGAAAAAGTCCTTTAAAAAAATACCGGTAAAAGTCCTAGAAACAGTCCCGGAAAAAGTACAGGAAAAAGTACCGGTAAAAGTCCAAAACAAATGTCGGAAAAAGTCTTGGAAAAAGTATCGAAGATGTTAAGAGCGAGACACACCAGGACTCCTTTGATATGAACGAAGGAAATCTGTACCTCGAGGACGAGGCGAAGAGCTCCTTCCACATCTAGTAAAACGTACAGGATGATGTACGGGTAGATATGCAGAAGGAATAGCGGAAGGACGTACGGGATAAAATCCCGGAAAAAGTACTGGAAAAAGTTCCGGAATAAAAATTAAGGCCAAAAATTAATGTAAATATGATATTATTTTGCTCATGTGCATCAAGAAAATAGAGCTACGCAGATCATTCATAGAACATCGATTCAAGCCAAAATCATTGTAGAAAAAGATTCATTTCAGATCAGTTTTGGATCTATGCAGCAGACTGAGTGTTTCCTTCCTAAACCTAAGCGTAATGTGCCGTGAAACACGTAATTAAATACTGCATACTTGTACCATACGTACCCGTACTGAATCTTATATGGAACATGTAAAAGTATCTATCAGCGATCCGTCCTGTATCTAATAACTTTTATTGTAGGCATTCAATGATAAGGTTATGACTATTATTTCAATTCTTAGATTCCTCATCGATGTCAATTCCTTTATCTGGGTACCCGCGTACACTGCCATCATATTTTTATGGGCTCTTCTTTTTCTGAACATTCCTTTCTCAAGAAATGGGTATTCCATCGACGCATTCATAATACGCTTCGGTCTTGCAATAATAACATTAATGGTCAAATTAAATTATAGAAGCGCAGACAGTATTTAGTGCTGACATAGTATGGGGTCTGAGAGAGAAAAACAGGTATATGTAACGCTTTTATCGTCCACACCAAGTTACATAATACTTGTATGTGACAGATTTCGGATTTACCCGCTGCGACAGATCTTAATATTTCCTACATTATCATAGGATATTGCAGTTGTCAGTTAGTGCGTGACTGTTCTCAGCGCGTGACATCTAATAGGTATAGCTCCGCCTGGCTTCAGTCTGCCTATAGCTACCGAAAAACAAAAGCTAGAGAAGAAAACTCAGCGTTCGGAGGTGCCCACGTTTCTGTTAACGCCTCTCTCTGATTATTCAACTTTGACCTGCTCCTATTTAAAAACTAAGACCTTCCGGACAAAAGGAAGATCATTTTCGTGATCATTGATACCTCCGGAACACCGCCATACCCCGTTGGACAGGTAGTTGTTTCGGAATACCCTGTATAACACTTTATTTTAAAAAGTTGAAAAATATTAGAATTAAAATATAGACTGCTAGTTTCAGCGTCATCACTATCGATGTCTGAAAAAGAAACCGAACTGATACTTAAGGAATTTAATGAAAAAAAATCCAAGAAGATGACACAAACGTCATACACATCACTTTCGAAAATCCTGTACTTTGTAACATCACATCAGGACGACCCGTTACAAAAATTTCCTCACCGCCACGTACTGCCGTCGGTGCATCGGCCCGGATTTCGGGAGAAGGAAATGGTAAAAATAGTGTACTGACGGGCAGAGGCACAAGGTCCTTATGGGTTGAGAATCCACACTAAGGGGTACTCAATCTCTGGAACGCACTATCGGTATCCTGAGAACTTTAACCGACCACGGTCTACATCCCCACAGAGAGAGCGTCAGAAGGTGGTATTGTCTTGGTTTTCATCTACCACAGGCAGTGGTAAGAAATCATTCCCGGGAATCAGAAATCTAGTTGAGTGAACTTAGGTGATCGGCAGACCGAGAGTGTGGATCTCCTTCCAACCTCGGGACATAGCAGAGCTATCGAATAATCGCAGATTTTTATTATCGGGATTTCTCCTAGAAAACCGTAGCTTTAAAGAATTATGGATTACAGGTACAGTGGGAGTTTGTGAAAGACTAACAAGGAGAGTGTAGCAAACGGGAGACACGGATTTTAATAATGTTTTGTGAACGGAGAGTGCAAGATATGAGATAAAAAAAGTTCAAACCGTTTGCTCAGATAGGCAGCGGTTTAGGTTGAAGGAAATCCGCGTGGAATGACTATCAGTTGGTTTGTAAAGGGTTCGAGCCGCCCGCGATAGCGTAGTGGCCTAGATACTAGCCTAGAAAGTCTACCGGCATGCGTTCGCATCCTCGTATTTAAAACCTTTTTTTCTTATTCTATTTTTTAGATAGTTTCGGATTGATACGTGAGCCACCGTTAGGGAGTACACTGCACGCAAATTCTCTTTCGTTGCTCCCACGTTCCCCTATATTATTTCCAGCGAGCTGAGACTAAGCTTCCGGTAGATTTGAAGAAATCGGCCGTAGGAGGGAACATTGATATGAGGAAGCTGCATCTGGCGCCCAACATTCGGATTTTTTTTATATTTAGATTTCAATTCGTTGGGATCAGCCAAGGATTTATTTATAGGCTACGCTTGGAAGCGATGTACGTCACAACTCATGAAGATCCTATACTCGGGATACCCATGACCGATAAATCAGTTAACTTTTATAAAAATGTCGCGATGTCTTACATTCCAAGGATTCTAGAAATCCCTGAAATCTTTAGAATACAAGACTTCGCGATCATACGAGAAATGCCGCCAAACGAGGGTCAACCTCTAGAAATTCTTATAATTTCACCCCTTCAAAATCAAATCAAACGTATTTGTCATTATTTGCCACTTTATTGTCATTATTCATATTCTATAAATGGTTTCATTTAAATATGTCAACTGGAAATACGCGAAATTACAACACCATCGCTAAAAGTGTCAAATTAGGGGGAATTTCGGGATTGATGACCCCTTAATCGGTTTTCCGCCGATAAAAAAATGCATTTCACTTAGATTTCAATGAAGAATAACATATCTCGAAAGAAATAAATTGGAGGGGACGTCGGAAATGGGTTTTTTGTCAGTCAAGCGGTATACATTGTAACGTATTTCCTTAACTTCACCCGACACCGATAGCAAGACATACGGGA